TGATGCTCCTGCTATACTTCTGCGTCTGACAGTGTTTTCTTCCATTGTCCCCTCTAGTGCCAAACTGCTCAATTATCCTTTTGTTGTTCTTGTTAATGTTGCACAATTCATTTCCTCCGATGTCCACCCCCAATCTATTTTCCCTCTGAACATATCCGACTAGTGACACTTCCTAAAAGACAAGTCTGCTCTGCGTGCATTCATTTAAAAGCCAGCTTCGTTTAAACTTAGCCTTATCTATCTATCTATCTATCTATCTATCTATCTATCTATCTATCTATCATCTATCTATCATCTATCTATCTATCTATCTATATCTATCTATCTATCTATCATCTATCTATCTATCATCTCACACGAACCCTAAGACAGATGTCTTTGTATATCCTGTAGCTTATTGATTTAAGCTCAGAGAAAAACACTGCATTTCCACAAACAGCTTGCCTGTGGAAATGCTTTGTGTAACATTAAGCACAGAGCAGGAGGAACCACTGAGGTTTTCCCATAAATTTGGGCACCAAGGTTCGCCCAAATCTGGGGGGCCCTGGAGTGTGTGTGTGTGACATCACATGTTGGGAGGATACCTGACGGGGCCCACCACAACCCTGGGATGGCCCAATGGCTGTGGGTAGGCACCAAGAGGCCCGTTGTGGCCACAGGTAGACCTGATGGGGCCTGCTGCATAATATAAAAGGTAAAGGTAAAGGAGCCCTGGATGGTTAAGTCCAGTCAAAGGCGACTATGGGGTTGTGGCACTCATCTCAATTTCAGGCCAAGGGAGCCGGCATTTGTCCACAGACAGCTTTCCGGGTCATGTGGCCAGCATGACTAAAACACTTCTGGCACAATGGAACACTATGATGGAAACCAGAGAGCAGGGAAATGCTGTTTACCTTCCCGCCACAGTGGTACCTATTTATCTACTTGTACAGTGGTGCCTCGCAAGACGAAAATAATTCGTTCCGCGAGTCTTTTCGTCTTGCGATGCTTTTCGTCTTGCGAAGCACGGTCCGTCGCAACTGCGCCTCTTCAAGCGGCTTTAAGAAAAAAGCGCAAGACGTTTTTGTCTTGCGAAGCAAGCCCATAGGGAAATTCGTCTAGCGAAGCAACGCAAAACCGAAAAACCCTTTCGTCTAGCGAGTTTTCGTCTTGCGAGGCATTCGTCTTGCGGGGCACCACTATACTTGCATGCTTTTGAACTGCTAGGTTGGAAGGAGCTGGGACAGAGCAACGGGAGCTCAACCCGTTGCGAGGATTTGAACCACTAACCTTCTGATCGGCAAGCCCAAGAGGCTCAGTGGTTTAGGCCATAGCCACTACCCGCGTCCCATAGTCTGCAGAATATTGAGGGGGTCTTTGTTTATCCTGTATTATTGCCATTTCTTCAAGGCTGATGCCCTTATTCATAGCTAATGATTTATTGTTAGTTTGTGTTTATGCTTTTCTGATTCATGATCTGTAGTTTCACTTTGAAACCCACCCACCCCCGCTACGTTCATCAATATACCAATACTTTCTATTGTTCCATTGGTAACAGAAGAGGGGAAATGACTATTCCTCATACTTAATCTAAGCACACGCACAAGGGCTACTGACTGGGTGTTTAGCTATGCATTGTTGAATGTTATCTGCTAACTCTGTTCTATTCTGCTTCCCCCCTTTTTTGTTCAAACCAATTCACAAACAAAGGACCTATACATTGGCCACTAATAATGCACCATATGTTATAGATATTACTGCAAATTTTTATGCTATTTTTGTGATATACAAATGACATGAGAAGGCCTGGTCTTATTTACTTGTCTCATTTATTATTCCAATGATGCTTGTTTATAAAACTCAATAAAAAGTTATCAAAAAAAATAAAAAATAGGGTGGGCAGATTTTGGGCTGGTGTTTTGATGCCTGTGGTATCAAGCGGATGCTGCAAAAATCTTGCATGTGTGAGGAACACTCATACTACAATAACCATCCATCTGGAAGCCACTTTGGTCACAGCAATCTTGGGAGTGCCTAGCTTAGTACAGAAAATAAACTGTGCCCTCTTTAGATGGATATTTATACTAATGATTCTGCTGTGCCTATTTATTGCTAACAGCTGCAAACTGGGGGTGGGTCACACCCACACTGATTGGAACTTGCATTTATTTGATTGGATTCTGTATTCTTTTGTGTTTGGCATAACACAGCAGATACCTGCAGCTATTTCTCTCGTTGCCTGGCATTTTAGCTTCATTTTGTTTTGAGACTGTAGATCAGTCTTCTACACCAACCTGGAGTTTTGGGCCACAATCCCCCACAGCCTCAGCCAGCACTGTGTCCGTTGTCCTGGTGGGCATTGTAGACAGGAATGTTTGGGGGACACCAGGATTATCATCATTTTTATATCCCACCTTTCTTCCAAGGAGCTCAAGACAGTGTACAGTGGTACCTCGGGTTACAGACGCATCAGGTTACAGATGCTTCAGGTTACAGGCTCTACTAACTCAGAAAATACTACCTCAGGTTAAGAACTTTGCTTCAGGATGAGAACAGAAATCATGCAGCGGCAGCAGCAGGAGGCCCCATTAGCTAAAGTGGTACCTCAGGTTAAGAACAGTTTCAGGTTAAGAAGAAGAAGAAGAAGAAGAAGAAGAGTTTGGATTTGATATCCCGCCTTTCACTCCCTTTAAGGAGTCTCAAAGCGGCTAACCATCTCCTTTTCCCTTCCTCCCCCACAACAAACACTCTGTGAGGTGAGTGAGGCTGAGAGACTTCAGAGAAGTGTGACTAGCCCAAGGTCACCCAGCAGCTGCATGTGGAGGAGCGGAGACGCAAACCCGGTTCCCCAGAATACGAGACTACCGCTCTTAATCACTACACCACACTGGCTCTCTTAACCACACTGGTTAAGAATGAACCCCCAGAACGAATTAAGTTCTTTTTTATATATATATATATAATTTTTATTGAGTTTTCACATTTTATATAGACATAACAAACACACAAAAGACAAAGACAAACATGTATCATTTCAAATTCTTACTTTCATAACCACGTTCTCTGACTTCCCCACACCTCCTCTTCATGCATCCTAATTCCAATAATTAGTTCAGCAAGTTCTTATCTCTTATCTTTACAATATTAATATCATATTTTTAACTTAATTCTTCTTAATTAACTAAATTTAACTTATACACATCAATTATAATCATTACATCCTTTCCAAGGTCGTCCTAAGTTCCCTTCCACAATTTCCCAATTTTCAAATTAATTACTGAACATAATAACTAAACATAAAAATCATAAAATTATACTGCTTTTGGATTCAAGAACTCTCACCCCCCCTCTTTCCCGGTTTCGATCCCCCAAAGAGGCATCCACAATATCAGTTCTTAGCCTGGATTTCTCACGTCCGAGGCCTTCAAATCTCTGTCAGTCCCTCTCCGTCGGTTTTGTTGGTAATCCTTTATGTTGGCCATCAAGTCTTGAAGGAGCTCTATCACAGTAAAATCAGTATTTCTTCCAACCAGCCCTTCATATTCAAAACCGGAGCCCCAATCATATTTCTTGCTTCTTTTAAGTCCAAATAATCCAAATGTCCCAAAGGCTCCCTCTTTCATCTTGCACAAATTTGTAATCCATAGTTCTTTCGATCTCCCCATAAGGGGATCTCTTCCTTCTTCATTCTTAATTTTCATCCAAATTCTCATTATCCCAGTCTTGTTTTCCTTGTATTCCCCATTTATAGGCTTTTGGTTGGTCCTTTCCTCCTGGAGTATTTCCGCTCCTCCTTCCCTCTCCTCTGACTCTGAAAATATCTCTTCTGGTTCGGCTGCAGAATTTTTCTTTATCAAGTCCTTAACACATTCAACAGGGTTGCTTACTTTAGAATTCAAGGTCGCAATCTTTATAGCCATAGCTGTGCTCTGGTCTTGTAGCTTTCCCACGAGAAGAAACATTTTTTCCAACTCGGCCTGTAATTTTCCATCTGCAGCCATTGTAATGTCTCAGAATCCCCCCTAGAGGGATTCTGGTTACTTAGTAATCCTTCTCCAACAGTCAGTTGCTATTACTTATTTCTTCATTGTTTCCAACAACTTAAAATCCAACGTAACATATCTAGTCCGCAAAGATATTAAATAACAATTTTTCTAGCTTAGACAGCTCGTTTGACAGCTCCTTTGACAGCTGTCAAACTCCTTGTATCTCCTCAGCAGGCTCACTCACGGATCGCTCCCGGATCCGGGGGGGGGGGGGTTTCACATCAACTTCTAAAATTCAGTTCTTATCCTCCAGCACAAAACTTCTAATGCCAATCATGGAATAAATAACTTTTGTCTCACAAAGAGAGAGATGGTCTCTCCACCTTAGTTATCCGATTCTTGCTTTAAATGTCTGCAGAAAGGGGGTGCGGACTTCCTTTTAGCACTCCCCCGATCGTACCGAATTCAAAGAAGAGGAAATTTTTAAGTCCAAATTCCGTACTACTCACGGGTTATTTCTTTTTCAGTCCAAATGTTCAAGGAAGAAAGTCAGCGCTCTCTGGCCATGGCTCACGGCTTCACTCCACTGAAGTAGCAGTCTACTCACAGCACCACGCCACTCTCCGCACCCTCTCCGAAGCCTTTAAAAAGGCTTCTTTGTGGGTCGGGGGGGCGCAAATGGTGCCCGCCGAGTCACCAAGTCCACAGGCTTCAGCGCCTGTGGTTTCTGAGGGTCCCCGCGTCACCGCCGCGGCAGGACCCGTCTTCAGTAGAGCCAATTCCCTCCGGAGCTCGGAGGGAATCCGCCATTAGCCGATCGCGCTAACCCGGAAATCCGGCTTCCTCTGTGGCTTCTGCAGTCGAAATGCAACCCAGAAAGGCTGCAAAGAGGCTCTCAACCCTAGACTGCAGACCAGTTGGATGGAGCATAGCTGGGACTGATGGGAAGTGATGGCAATAATATGCTAGGGAAGAACTTGGTGAGCTTAGATTATGGAGAATACTGGCTCCATCTAAATCCACCTTTCTTTTATTTCTCAGATATCTGCTCCTCAAGAGAGATTATATTCCACATGGATTGGGTACGTACAGCATCAGTCCACTTGCTGCACTATGAAAGCTCTCAGGTGGAGGAAGAAGTGAGTTGCAGCCAGTACAAAGGGAGAATCTGGCCTGTAGTCATATCCAGTGTAGTGTGGATGATTACATTTTTAATATTTATTGAATGTCTTACCCACCCTTCACTGTAAGGTCCCAGGGTGGGTTACCATAATAGAAAGAGACAAAATTAAAACCAGTTAAAAGTAATTTCCATTAGCTACAGCTAATTACTATGGTTGTAGAGTGATGTGGTGGCTGCTTTGGAGGAGGGTGAAACTGCACCACAACTTTAGGATGCTGCAGAGAAGAGGAGAGATACCCTAGCAGGGCAGTCTGTGTGTTCTCCTAACAGGGATGGGGCAGGTTGCTGTTGCTGCTGTAGCAGTGCAGCATTCTTTATCGTGTCTCCCTTTGGGGAATCATTTCCAATTTCTTTGTCTTTTGATGAACTCTCACATGTCTTCTGTTACAAGATTTTGGGGCATGTTGTGGGGTGGCGAGTTGATTCGCCCAGAGCCCAGGAATCCATGGTGGCCTCAAGAACTGAATGCCACCTGGAATGTCCTCTGCATGTGCGCATGATATGAAAAGATGTAGGAGGGCCACCTCTTCTGGCATTAGCGTTGAGAAACCTCCAAAAAAAAAACCCCGTCAGTTCTTCAGAGGACAGTTTGAATACTAGTAACTGTAGGAGAAAGAGAAAATAGCCACATGGTCAGCCGAGGCCTAGCTGACTTCCTTGTCTGGTCTTCCCCACAGAGGCTCCATCTTGGCTTCACTGGACACATTTAAGAAAATGTGGGTTTCGAAGAAAGAATATGAGGAAGATAGTTCCCGGGCAATCCATCGAAAAACCTTCTAGCCTGGCAGCATGCTGGGGTCTCCTTGGAGCGTCATTCCTATTCTCGGCTCACTTTCCTGAGTCAGTGTCTGAGGAGCTCCCCACTGGTGTGTATGTGTAAGGGTAGATGAGTGCCAGCATGCCCTGGACTTTCCCGAGGGAAGGGAAGGCTGGGGTTTCGGCTTGACTTTTGATTGGTTTTGCAGGGGGCAAGTGAGAAATTGGAATGAACCTGTGGGCAAGCTCTGTTCCCTTTTCAGCTGGCCCACAGACTTTGTTTTGGGGGTGGGGAGGGGAGTGCATTTGTGTCGCAGAAGATGGCAAGTATGGCTGTGGAGCTGAGCAACTTAGGATGAAAATGAGAGTGCGGCAAAGCGGCCAGTGCATAGGGCTCCCAGTGACTGGTGGAAGAACATGGGCCACGTTGAAGGTCCATCATGGAACTCTAGCACAGCAACTGACTGCGATCCAGTTCCTCTCAGTTGCTCAGCAGTCGTTTTTTAGATGGCCAATTCATCGCCTCCCCCCTCTACTTTTAGAATTCTCTTGCACACAAAAGAGGATAAGCACATTCCAAGCTGTTACAAACCCATTTACGGCGGGGTGTGTGTGTGTGAGAGTGTGTGTGTGAGAGAGAGAGAATCTGTAGTATGGTGTGTGAGAATCTGGACCACAACAGGATGGTTGGAACAGTTAATTTTAGGAACTAGTTTGTAATGCATGGTGTAGAGCAGAAAGACCCTTCCCTTTTTACGCTAGACAGTCCTTGCATTGGCATCTGGGGATGAGACCGTTGTCTGTCATGCAGCCAAGTGCCCAGGGCCACTCTGCACTGTGGCCTCATTCTCTTTTCCTTCTGCCAAGCCCCTCCCCTGCCTCATGTGTGTTCTCACGGTTTACAGTGTTCATTCTTTCCGAAAGGCCGAGGCTTTATGCCCACGTCACAATCCCCGCACAAAGGGGCTATTCAGCCACGCTTGCTGGGAAGCCCCGTAATTGCTCTTAGAATTTATTTATTGAAAGCTTTTGGTGGTAACTGATCTACTAACTGGGCCCAACGTTAGTTTCCCCCATTTTTATCTGTCCTACTATCTACTACACGTCCTGTTTTAACATGTGCACCAGCACTGGGAATACCATACTTGCTTAGTAGCGTTGGGTCAGTCCTGCAACTATCCCCGCTCCTTAGAGTACCCTGTTAATTTTGGAGTGGCTGTTTCCATGAATGCACCGCAGGATGAAACAACAAACTCTGCTAGAACACTAGGAGTTGAGTAAGAGGCCTCCAGAGGGAGGCTGTCATCCCAGAGTTAATTGTTAAGTCCTTTGACTGCTTCAGTACTGCTACAGAAATGGAAAAATCATCTGCTTTGAATCGAATTTTTTATTCTTTTTTTAAAATATACGCATTTGGTGCTTCTCATTGTAAAGGGTTATTTTTGTTGTTTTAATGCTGCTGCTGAAAACCAAATATTTCACATTCTTGGCCACTTAAGTGTTAGAAGATGAGACAGCAGGAAACAATCATTTTTGTCTCTCTGTAGGCAACTGTTGGAAGAGAAACTTCAATAGGAAGCGAGAGTGCAGGGACTCAAGAAATCCAAGGTGGAGGCAAAGTATTGTCCTGTTTGTTACCACTGATTGATTTTGAATGTGGACCCCTTGTGCTTTAGCTGCAAACTTCAGCTTTGCCCTTCAACTCATCAGCTTTCTCAGAAAATGTCATGAGGATTAGAATAGGCCATTTAGTTTGTTAGGAGCAGCCAGAGTCCCTTCAGTGCTCGAAGCTGCAGTTGTTGTCTGGCCTAAGGTAAGGGATGGGGACATCTCATAACCTCTCCTACACAATAGATAGGTAGTTAAAATGCAAATTTTGTGTATTATGCAACACACACACACACACACACACACACACACCCAGTGTTAAAAAATCTTCCAAATAAAAATGTGAGGTGATAACTGTGACAGTATAAGCTTTCCTTGTCCTTCAGTCCCTTCCTAAGACCTTAGGAAGAGTAGCTGAATTGGAAGTTTTAGGCTTCTCTATTAGGATAACAGGCTTACACTTGGAAAGAAAGTGGATGTATATCTGAGCTAAGCAAGAGCTGAGCCACATCTACCTTTCCTCCATTCTTTCCAGGACACCCTTCTTCTTCTTTTTGCACCAGTGCTTTCCCTGGGAAAACCTGCTCTTTAGCAACCTGAGTTTGTTTGCTCCGATTGAGCACTAAAGAGCAGGTTTCTGCAGGGAAAGCTACAGGGTAAAAACCCAAACAGCCAGACACAGAGCTTTTTAAGTTCAGACCTGTGCCTGGAAAGAGTGGGACAAAAGGCAAGTGTGGATAATCCCCAAGAGAAGTTGTAGCTGGTGTTTCAAAGACAGACATATGCTAATTAAAGGTGTTTCCCCTCCTGCACCTGCAAAGAGGATGTGCTTGGGCAGAGCAGTGCCATTGGTGGGCCCTGATTAGGATCTCAGCAGTATTCTCTTCTCTTTAGTTCCAAGTAACATGGCCCATAGGTGATGTATCATGAAGCTTCTCCAAGCAGGAGTGGACAAGACTGCCCAGACAGCAAATGCTGGGGCAATGTACATTTTTGCAGCACGTGAGGACATAGCCACTGAAAGCTAGCACAGAGCCATATTACAATATTACAATGATCTACTATAGGTTTTATCATCTCAGATATCCCTCTTAAGACACATGCATGGCCAGGAGACGCCTCTCTCCCCTACTTAAAGCCAGGGCTGGGCACCTGCGGCCTTCCAGATGTTGCTGACCTTCCATCAGGCCCTGCCAGCATGGCCAAGGATTAAGGATAACGAGACTTATCCAGTAACATCTGGAGGGCCAAAGGTTTTCCTTCTCTGCTCCAGACAGTAGCAGTTGTGTTAATACATCTTCACTGAACCAAGCCCTGTAGGTTTTTCAATTGGAGTAAAATGACTTTTCTCCTAGAATGAGCCTAGCAGCTAATGGTTTTGAATGGAGTCCAGATCCTGTTTTAATAAGCTACACCCGAATGTAAAGGTTTGCTGCATCCCTGAGTGAGGCCTTGAAACCGGTCTTCTCTGGCACTTCCTATTCAACTTAGTTGCTTGGGTTTTCAGCCTGGGTTCAAGCAAACATGCTTTTGCTATCGGGGAGATGAAGCTTGAGCAGCAAGTAGATCTGAATGTGATTGCTAACAGATTCCTTGCTTTGACACTTCATGCTCACTTGGTGGCAGCTGCATAAAGCTTGTTGGGGTGTTTTGACCAACACAGAGAGGAGTTCTTAGTGGTGATTTCAGTGGAATAGATACCAAAGGGGTTGTCCTGACTATTAGCTTCTCCACTGGCAAGATGTACATCCATTAGGGTAGCCCGAGATTTTTATGGGAGGGTCTACAAAACTTATAATCTTCTACCATAGGTAAAAGAGAAGGGCCCATATTTCTTGCCTTATACTAGAAGAATGTCATTGTGTTTGACCTGCCTGATGTCTAAAATACCTGCATACTCAGTTCAGGCTCTTCTATAAAGGCCTTGATTCTCACAGTTTCCACCAGGAGTAGAGCTTTTACCCCCCCCCCAATAACTGTTTGAAAACATGTTTTGTGTTAATGAAATGTCTAATTTCAAATATAGGGAAACAGTAATAATGACAGCCAGTGCATGTCAGCTTCTACTGGTAGACGTGACAGAGCAACCCCTAGGTTAGTGTAATAGTCTGTTTCAGGCACTACATAGGGGAGGAGAGAGAATCCTAGAACTGTAGAGTTGGAAGGAACCCTGTGGGTCATAAGCCCCCTCCTCTCTGGTCCTTTGTGTTTTTTCCTTGTTTTTCCGCATCAGTTATCTGAAGCAGCAGTGTTACACAATGAACAAACTGACAGGTGCTTCCTACAATCTAGCATTGGTTCCATCAGGCTGACACTGTACTTTGCACAGATGTGTGAACCACTGCTGGGTGCCGCCCAATGTACTTAAATAAAGTTGTTAATATACAATGTGTAGTCTGCTTAAAGGAGTCGTAAAAGATCTGGAATATGAGCAAGTGCCATTCTCCTTACAGCTATGACAGCTTACTCAAGATCAAGGTTGTGAAGATGCTCCTTACAATAGGTACCAACATTTAGCTTACCTATTTGTTCAGAACAGACGTTCCCTAATTCTTCAGCTAATTACTTCTCCTTTAAACTAGAACCTTTATTTATGGGCTTAATATAGAATAAATTAGCACTGGAGCTCCAGGACTCAAAAGAGCAGTTTGGCTTAGAGTGCTAGTTCAAACAGCAAATGCAAGGAATAAGCCAACAAATTTTCCTCTAGTAATTCTCCATTCTAGCATGGATTTTGCACTTGTGCAGAGAACAGACCTGTCTGTAACATCCCATCTTCTCTGCACACTTGGTCACCATCTGCCTGGGAGGCAGAATCTTTTTTTCAGCTCAAAGGTTGTATTATCTCAGGGTCAGGTTTCAAGAGGCCACATGCCAGAGCAATTGGTGTGATTTCTTTTGTATATAGCAAGGTGCATTCCAGCCGTGAAAATGGCTCCCCAACCAAACGAGGCATTCTTGGAGGTGGGATAGAAACACAATAAATAAATAAAAAGCAGGTGCTTGCAGGAACAAGGATGCTCTACAAGCGGGTAAGGACATCCTACAAGCTGTGCTCAGTGGTATAGTTGAAGGCATGAGAATTTCTGGCTTGGCAAGGGGATAAACTCTTGTCACACCAGCTCTTTAAAAGAGCCCTCCATCTTGATTACCGTGTACATTCCCAAAACACCACACTACAAAAATAGCTTTAAAAAGAAAGACACTTTAATGAAATAAGTTTTGACGCACTTGGCTTGTTAAATTAGAGAAATAAATTACAATGTAGCCATCGAGTGATACAAAAGTGATACTGTAAACATTTTCTCATCATCATTGCTCTCACAAATTGAGAGAGGAAATGGCAATTACAGTGGCTGGCTGGGCTACCGCCTGTAGAAACTTGAGAACGCTTCCCCACCCCCTCCAAGTGCCACCTGCTTCGGCACACAAAGAGAAGGATGCAATTTGGTCCCAAGGAGATCTGGATTCTTCCGTTTTCTACGACGGCAGCCAAAAGGGTCTCAGACCAAGAGCAGAGGGATATTCCAGTGAAGGCAGCTATTGAACTCGGGGGTCACAGGCCTCTAACCCTGATTCACACAGCCAGCTGCCTTCCTCCTTCACTGCCTGACAAAGGCAGGAAGTGATTCTCAATCCCTCAGAGACCCAAGAAGATTCAGCTCTGGAATAACTTCAGGGAAGCCTGGCATTCCCCTAGCTTCCCTCAGAGGTGAGTCATCAGAAAAAAAGAGTTGTGGAAAGAGCAGAACAGCCCTGAGGAAATTCTGCTTGCCCTTCCTAGGCAATATGAGGAGTGAGGTACTTGCTACCTCTAGGAGCCTGAGGGAATAACTCAGGAAGTCTCTCCTCCCTGTCTTGGCCGTAATCTACAGTCTAGTAAATCTTTTTGTCATTAGATGATGGGCCACTTCCTGTGACTGATACTCTGCAGCCAAGCTTGGTTTTGCAACTGTCAACTCTCCTCCTCTTCAGAAAAGGCATCATTTCCCCCCCTCAGCCATGTGCATAGAACCACTCTCCAAGGTCTTGTCCACTTCAGTCAATTCTGTAGGGACTAGTGTAGGTCCAAATTGCTTTGCTCATGAGGAGGAAAGGGAGGACGACGACTAGTACCTCAAGTATAAGCCCCAAAGGCAGAATTATCAAGTTGCCCTTGAAGATTCCTGTGCTGGTAAGTATAATAGCTACAATCTTAAAAAATATCTGGTCCCACAGAAAAACTAGGATGAGTGTCTCCTGACAAAGGAGGCTGGTCTTTCATCCAAGTGAAGGGATGGGGAAACTGTGCCCCCCCCCAGATGATGCTTGACCACAGCTCCAATCATCCCTGACCACAGGCCATGCTGACCAGGGGGACAGGACTTGGGGAAATTTTAGAAATTCATTCTAAAACAGCTTGGAACAGCTTCATTCAAGGTTAAGCCCGTTGTGACGTCAAAACTTGGTGGCCAGGTATACCTCCAAGCTTCTGGTGACACAGCTCTCCATCCACCTCACAGACCCCCTGCTTTCAGCACAAATCCTGCCACCGCTGCCATAGTGTAAGAACAGGGTGCACTTGTTCTCTTGAAAAGGGTAAATTCCGAGAAGAAAGAGTGCTGTTTCCCCACAGAGTGAGCATGTGCTGTAAGTGGAGTACCCAGATGTCTTCTGGAAGGAATCAAGTCACATTTTGAAGAGATTCTGGCTTTCACAGTTAAACTATGCCCTGATAGGATGGGTGCAGGGAGCGAGGTATGCCAAACAAATCCAGTGCAGAGGAGAAGGATGAAGGTATCAACCCTACTCTCTAGCACCCAAATCAGAGCCAAGGCTCTATGTATGCAGTTCCCAAGAGGTTAGGATACAAGTACCAGGATACTCCTAGTTTACTCAATGTTTCCCCATCAACTTGTTAGTAATATACAGCATCTTTACCTGACTACTTAGCTTCCCAGCGACTTCCTCTGGAATGAATAAAAATAAACATGATCAGCAAGTCAATATTAAGAATTTTCTTTTTTAAGGCAAGGTGATGACTTTTTCTGGACCAACTTTGGCTGAAGATAGCAGATGCAAGCTTTTAACACTCTCATGACCTCTTCAAGGTGGAGCCTACACAGTCCTGCCTTGGGGGCGGGGGACACTCCAGGAGGTACCATATTTTTCACTCCATAAGACGCACCTTTTTCCTCCTAAAAAGTAAGGGAAATGACTGTGCATCTTATGGAGCGAATGTGTGGTCCCTGGAGCCGAATTGCCCAGGGGCGAAAAGCAGATTGTGTTGAAAGGGAGTATTGCAAGGAAGCCGCTGAGCAGTTGATCGGCAAGCGATCGGGAGGGAGATAAGGCTGTGGGTAAAGGAGGCTGCCGGGGGAGGGGGGGAGGTAAAGACAGCAAATTTGCAAGGAGAGGAGACAGGAATACTAAAACAAGCAATGAGGAGAGAAATTAGAAGAAAAGGAGCAGCAAAAAAGTGCTCCAGCTAAGGAAAAGATGCTAAGGCAAACAAGAGGGAAGGGGGAGTTGAAACGAAGCCGCTGAGCAGCTGATCGGCAAGCAATCAGGAGGGAGATAAGGGACGCTAGCAGTAAAGGAGGCTGCCTGGAAGGGGGGAGGTAAAAGCATGGATCCTCAGGCTTTTTGCATTGGGTCACCCCAAATTCACCATCAGATCACATATCATGTCTGTGGCTACAGCATGAACCACAACAATCATACATCTACTGTTTCGTTCAGAATATTTTTTTTCTTGTTTTCCTCCTCTAAAAACTAGGTGCGTCTTATGGTCAGGTGTGTCTTATGGAGCGAAAAATACGGCATGTTACGAAGCTTTGGTCAAAAAGGACTATCAGCCATACAGGCTGAAAGTCTATGGAAGTGCTTTAGCTGCAAACCAGAAACTTTGCTGGACGTGGTTACTGCCTGTGATACTGTGTTTTAAAATTTAGAACAATTACAACAAAATAAGAGAATCAGAGTTGTCAATGACAAAGGATCCCGTGGGACGGCGGCTGCGGCAGCCCCTAAAATCAGCCCCTGCTCCTGCTGGTGCTGGCGGGGGTGAGAAGAACTGGGCCTCCAGGGACCCTAAGGCCCAAGTACAAAATTGTAAGGAGCAGAACCAGTGCCTAACTATTGAAAAGGAGCAGCAAAACACAGACAGACAGGAGGGGGAGGAGCTGAAGCTGCTGAAGGACAAGGCCTTGGCCCAGGAGCTCCAAGAAAAGGAGAACAAGCTGAAGGGAGTCAACAAGAAGCTGAGCAAGCAGATGAGGACCTGGCCAGCCACAAGAGGGAGGACAACCTAGAAGAGGAGCTAAAGAGTGTCAGGGCCCTCAACCGGCAGCTGCGTGAGGAGGCCAAGACCTCGGCCCAGAAGCTCCAAGAGAGCCAGGAGAGGGAGAAGCAGCTGGTGGAGCAGTTGTAGCTGCTGCAAGAGACCATCAAGAGCCAAAGCCAGAGAATATTGGAGCTGCAAGCCAAGGAGGATTTGGGAGACCAGAGAGGGCAACATCCATGTCTGCTGCCGTGTGCTGGAGAAAGAGGCATGGACCTGCCAAACGCAAGGAAGAGTGTTTAACTTTTGTATATTTATATACTTAAAGAAAATTGAGCAAGAAAAAAAAAAGAACCAAACCATTAGTAACTAGAAACCAAACCATATCAATACTGCCTGTGACCTTCATTAATTACAGTTGGCCTTACTGAATCAATTTCCTCCAAAAGTTTGGGTAAGGGGGTGCATTTTTAAGTGACGCTGAAAACCAGGTAACGGCAGCGCCAACTCAAAAGCTTCCACTCACCAACTTTAACCAAGAAGAGTATCAGTTGCTCTTTTTCTTCCACCCACGCCTTGTTGAGTTGATTCTGCAGGAGTCCAAAACGATCAGGGACATTTTCTGCTGATACACGGGAAAATTAAATGGTCTTGATTTCTTGGGACTGACTTTCCGTGAAAGTCTGGCGCTGAGCTTTCACTCTCTGGAGGTGCCTCCCATGCAGGGTGAATTGTGACCAGCTGAGGAGCTGCAGCAATGCACATGTGATGGGGACAAAAACAAGGAGGTAGAAGCAGCCCTGGCGCAGCGTCGGTTCCCAGGCTGTGTTGGAAGCCAACTTGGGCTGGGCACTCACGATATTGCTCAGGGCATCCCGCTGGAAAATGTCGTAACCTGGAACATAAATTGCTGAGTAAGCTGAATGTGGACTTGTTGACATTATGAGTGTTGAGAGCGTCCAGTTTCGATCTAACTATTGATCATGCAAAACAGACTCTGTGATTTCTACTTGAAACCTCTTCTTCATTTCTTTCCTCTATTACGCCAGCTGCAAATGCAGGCGTCTCCTTTCCATTCACTGGAAGCAACAATCTTTGTGAACTTTCCTTGTTCAAGGCAGCACCT